ATTTATCGATAATGGGAAGAGCGGCAGAGTATGTGTGGTCTGCAACCTTCTTTGAACAATCACTGTCAACTACAAAATAGCAGCAAATCATCTTTTGACGAGGGTTTATTTATACCAAAGGCTAGCATGCTGCAACTGTTTTAGCATTAGCAAAATATACCATATTTTGATCAGGGCTTATCGATAGAGAAGTTCTAGCATTTTGTCGCCGAATGGTATTGGGCTGCATCGAATGGTTTGAGTTTGTTAAAAAGTATTAAATGATGCGAAGAATGCATATCAGGAGCAGCATGAAATGAGTCTAATTGAAATTCATAGCTCAGCCAACAAGGATTCTGGGTGGGGAAATAATTGTTTGAAACAAACATGGTGAGCGGCCAGGAAGGACCCAAAGGCACACGACCGCATGCGCAGGCAGCCATGTCTCGAGCCCATTCGGGCATGCATTTTGTTTATCTAGTAACTCGTTGTCTCAAATCGAAGCCTACATCGAGACTAATTCTTTCTTCTTCTTCTTCTTTTAATAATTAATTGTATATATTTCAACTAATCTTGTATATTTTAAAATTAATAATTATAAATTTTTTTAGCAATCCTAAAAACCCATAAACTTAAATCCATAATTATTAAAGAATAAATTCAAAATCTAACTAGTTGAATTATTCTTTAAAATTACTTCAAGTTTATTTCTAATCTACATCAAGAATAAAATTCTTTAAATTTAATTAAAACTAAATAAACGTTAATTTAATAATTTCAAATTTTCAAATTGTTTTAACTTCTATCCAAAATAATATTTTTTTTTAGATTTTTTTTTCAAAAAGTTATTAAATAATATTATATTATTTTAAAAAAAAAATCTAAAACACCTAACCAATCTTTAACTCCAGACTTGAGGTAAGTATGGTTTTCTGGGCTACGCTCTGGGTCGGCAAAATAGCATTGAGACAGAGAATGTGTCAGGCAAATCATCACTCAGTTCACATGAGAACGCAGCTCCCTCAACAAATGAACCCATATAGTTCAACTGTGTCCCATTATCCGCCCACTTCTAGGTCATGTATGTGTCCCAAAATAAATAAATAAAATGTTCAAAGTAGTTTTTTTTTTTGTTCAATTAGGAAATTAAGCTTTTGGACTTTTGTTTTTAATAGATGTGTTCAATAAATTATTTAATTTTTTTTACAAGCTATTAATTCACAAAGATGAGGCTCAAGATGGAGACCCATCTTAATACTCGTTTAGGTTCAGCAATTTACTTTTTTTAATAAAAAAATTATTTTTTTAATTATTTTTCTCAATATTTTTGGATTAATATACTAATATTAAAAATAGTTTTTTTAAAAAATATTTTTTAAAATATTTCTTCATAAAAATACACTTTCAAATCCCATCTCAATCATGCAAAAAAGTGTATCGCTGCACTAGAATCTTAATTTGATGGTGAAAGAGATTTGTCTTTTTCTGCTGCTTCTGGATTCGAGTCTTTATATGCATGTCTATCATTCTCGTGATGTCTTATATACCCGTTGGGTTTGGAAGGTGTTCAGTAAGTCATGAGATTAGCCGTGGTGCGTACAAGCTGGTCCAGACACCCACATAAATAAATAAAAAAATACCACTGAATAAACAAGCTTGTTGATTAATAAACCTAATATTGCAAACCCATAATTTTATTTGAATAATATATGATAAAAGTAAAATTTGAAGCTTCCGGATCCTAAAGACAATAGTTGACAGAATCACAAGCCACACAGCTACAACTCATTCAACCAACCAAATGTACTGTTTTTCTCTTGACTTGGCAATGGCGTTTGGCTTCTTTCCTGTGTGCTTGGAAAGACATAGCAAGCAATGGTCACTGCTTGAGAAATTTGGCTTCTTTCCTGGGTGGTTGGAAATGAGACATAGCAAGCAATGGTCACTGCTGCCTCATAAGAAAATGCAGAGGGCAACTACCTGATATGACACTGATTATACCTAATACTTGACAACCTGTTTTACCATCACCATACTTGCTAAATTGACAGTAACGTTTGTAATTTACGATGGTGTTGGCATTGATATCTCTCTGGGTCTTTGTACTCATCGATATCTATATAACATAAGAAATCTATGTAAACCTGAAACCTGAAAATGATTTATGTGAACATCAAATCTGAAAAGGAAATATTCCACATGACCGGACAATAGAAAAGACCTGTTCTTGTGAATATCACCTGCAGAAATATTAACTGCGGAAATTCCAAAAAGCATTAATCAGTTTATCTTGGCATCCTTGTTGAAGATAGTGGTGTCCTTTGAAACTTCACTGTACAAGCAAGATATCTTTGAACGTTGTTTGAATGAGTGCAGCCTGTATTACTGCCACAAGTATATGCACTAGTACTAGCTTTAGCCTGTTCGCGCCTCTCATTCTTAACTACACATTCAATTTCAATCCCAACAACTGATGTATGTTTTCCATCTGCTATGAGAGTGAGCTGCCAGGCAATCTGAAAGATCAAAGGAGCGTTTATCTGTTAAAAAGGTCACTCCACAGCGATTTAAGCCTGAAATATTTGTGTAGTTGTATATGCTTGAAACTTAAATATCAAGAAGCTCTAGGCAACTGGGAATTGAGGTCTGACAGCATATCCAGAATGACCAAGGATTCTTATCTGACGTGTTCACATTTTCAGTGCAAATAAGAGACAGGCAGCAACCAACTGTCACCTCAGCTTCTGTCTCCATGACCTTAGTATCACAACCAATAGCTGTCAACATGTTTCTGAAGTTTGAGAACATGAAAGGGCCCGATCCAAGTGCGATAGACTGTAAAAAAAAGGCATCCCCGATTTGTCATAGCAGTCATATGCCATATCAATGCCTACAGTTACTGTGCCCTCCTACACATATACATCGCAAGCAGGCATGTTACGTCCAAACCAAAGTTCAGCATCACCATCATTTGAACTGCAATCTAGAAAGAAATGCTCCTTCTTGGAACAGTCAGGTTTCTCGAACACAGAGGGATATGGAACACTAACATTCACACATTTTCCTTGGCAACCAGGTTTCACTTCTTGGCTTGAAGTTGCTGTTGTCATTAGCCACAATAATAGCAGCATCATTAGCCAAGCCACCCACATCTAGAGAATCAGTTTTTCATGCACGTCCAATGTCAATTAACCTACTGTAAGCTAAAGAAAAAATGAATAAATACATATAAATATATAAAAAGAGAAAAGCTCTAAACCACCTCTCACAATTTGTGCAACTTGATTTCTTTTAGAAATACTCAAAACGTTGAAACATGATAGATTCAGAGCAGACTCGGTTGATGAAAACTTCACAATATACAGCAAAATTTGTTAAACATCTTCTTTCACTAGCTAGCTATTTATAAAACAAAGAAATTCAACCATCTTATGATAGCAGACTGTACAATTAAACAAATAGAAGTAACCGAACGCAACAAGATAAACACACTATAAGAGGTAAAGTTGATTATTTCTAATCCTTCCATACATATGTATAATCCTCAAAAAAAAAAAAATCAACTATTAAACGAAATGAAATTGAATTCGGTCCATAACAGCATTCAACACAATATGCACAAAAACATTAACAACAGGCGTTGCAAGATCAAAGTTTCTCCCTTTTTTTGGCAAATTTATTAATTCAAAAAGCAAAATACAAGCACATTACAAAGTACAAAAAAAAAAGTGACAATAATCAAAACCCAACAATGGGAAATCTAAAGAACCTGCCTATCAGCAGCCTCAGCAACAATGGGCAACCTAGGAATCTGACCAAACAAACAAGAAGTAGACCCATAAATCAAACAAACCAAAAGGTACAAAAACACAGTACTGTCCAAACTCATCAACAAATCCAATCCCAACCCATCTTTTGGATTAAAACTCCTCTCTAACAAATCAGGAAATATCAACAACACATCGAGCACTATAGCTTGCATGGTATTGAACCTCACATATCTGCTAAAATTGGAGTTTCTCACAACGACAAAGTAAAGAGTCAAAAACACCAAAAACCCATTTAAGGGAAAGCTCTTAAAGACTTTAATAGCTGGGAACAGAGGCTGGATGAGAGCTTGAATTGGAGAAAACTGGTTTATGACGTATTTTCCGTACTGGATTCCGTCAAAGAATGGGTAGAAGTAACAGACGGCGGAGATTATCCTGTCTGTTGTGTCTGCTGAATCGTTACCGTTGGATTTGGCTAAAATTAGTCTTCTGGGCCCTTTCCATTTTCTTGTGTGAGGCAAAAAAGATGGGTTTCTGAGGGAGAGAAGGAAGGGTTTCTGGGAGAGGGTAAGAGGGGCTTGTGGAAAGAGAAGAGTGGACATGGTTTTGCTCCTCCCTTTCCTTTTTTCCCAGCGAGAGGTAGAAGAAGCTAAAATTGTAGGAGATAAGTTTTCCTAATATCCAATAAAAAGAAAATAAAATGAGATTAAACCCAGATCTTTTTTTCTTAAAAAATTAAGGAT